TGTCACCAAAGAAAAAACCCTCAAAAAAAAAAAAAAAAAAAGACAAAAATCCTTAAATGTGAAAATCAAAGCATCAAAGGAAATCAGTAATGTTTTAATCTAAAGTCAAAAAAATTCTATTTCACTAGATCAGACTCGTAATTAATCTCTTCTGTTGAATTTGCAGTGTTACTGTGGCCCGATCTTTCCATTTAAACTGTAGATGTTAACGTTCAACTCCAGACTCGTCCCTACCATTAGGCTGGCCATTCTCTTGGATGTTTCTTGTGCTCTTATTTCTGTGTCCAACTTTATAGTTTTCCTGGTAGAGCACTCCCTTCAGCACTTCTTGGAGAGCTGGTCTGGTGTTGGTATATTCTTCCAGGTTTTGTTTATCTGAGAATATTTTTGTCTTTTTTTTCCTATATGGAGGATAATCTTGCTGGGTATAGTATTCTTGGTTGAAACTGCTTTTCACTGGGACCAGCGGGTGGCATGGTGGTTAAGGTGCTGGACACTCCCACATGGCCGACCTTGGTTTGAATCCCAGACCCAGTGCTTTGCTTTCTCATTCTCTCTCTCTCTCTCTGGTCAAATTAAAAATAAATGAATAAATAAAAAATAAATAATTTTTTAAAAAAAGAAACTGCTTTTCACTTAACACTTTGAATATATTTTCGCATTATTTTCTTGCTCGCATTGTTTCCGATGAGAGGTCCAACATTAATCTTATGGGATATCCTTTGAAAGTAACTTGATGTTTCTCTCTTGTCAAATTTAGTATCTTGTCTCTGTCAGTGGTTTGGGTCAGTCTGGCTATGATGTGCCTGGGGGAGGATCTTCTTGGGTTGATTCTATTAGGGGTTCTTTATATTTCTTGGGTCTGGATATTTGAATGCCTCTCTAGGTTTGGGAAGTTTTCTTCCAGGATTTCATGGAATAGATTATCAGTGCCCTTATCAGTTTCTTCACCTTCTGGAATATTGACGATCCAGATATTTGGGCATTTAATGGTATCTAGTATTATGCATATGTTATTCTTTTTGGGGGGCTATTTTCTCAGTCTTTTGTTGAATTTTTCTAGGTCAGAAGTTCGATCTTTTTATCTGAGATTCGATCTTCTGCATGATATAATCTGCTTTTAATATATATATATGTATATATATGTGTGTGTGTGTGTATATATTTATAGATAGATAGATAGATAGATTTTAGAGTTATTTATTTAACTTTTACGTATTCATTTAATTTGACCAGAGAGAGAGAAGGAAAGTGAGAAAGCAAGCTACCAGGTCCAGGACTTGAACTATGGTTGGCCATGTGGGAATGTCCAGCGCCTTAAGCACCATGCCACCTGCTGGCCCCACTTTTGATATTTTCAAGGGACGTTTTTGATCTCCTATATTGCAGCCTTAATCTCTAACAGTTCTGTTTGATTAAAAATCTCTTTTGTTTCCATTAAAAAGTATGATTCTTTTTTTTTCTTTCTTCTTCTTTTTTTTTTTGGAGAGGTTTTTGCTATAGGGCACATGCCCTCACCAGAAAGACAGAGAGAGACAGAGAGACAGAAAGCGAGAAATCACCCCCCAGGGAGGATGGCCACGCCACAATCCCTTCTCCTCCATTCTCCTCTCAGGATCTTGGGCACGCACGCACATGTGCCCGGTGTGAGAGGAGACGGGTCCAGGACTTGAACCACGGTTGGCTACATGGGAGTCCAGCGATATAGCCATTAGGCCAACTGCTGGTCCCTGTTTGATTCTTTTTTATGATATGTATCTCCTCTTTCAGATCGTACAAGAACTTTCTCACGTCCTGGAGTAACTCGGTGTCTCTTTTCTCCGGCATCTTCTGGAGTTTGTTGTTTCTCTTCTCTTGCATCTCTGTTAACTTTGTCACTATGAATATTTTAAATTCTGTATCTGATATTTTCATGAGTTCCCTCATATTCTCTGACCCCTGGCTAGATCTGAAAGGCAGGAGGGTGAAGTCTGCGCAGAGGGTCTTTGGTGGTCGTAATCCTTGAATCTTGGGAGGTGATTTCTTGCTTTCTGTCTCTGTTTCTCTGATGAGCACACGTGCCCTATAGCAAAAATCTCTCCCACACTAAAAATTAATTTTATTTATTATCATTATTTTAAAAATTTACTATAGGGCACACATGCTCAAGAGAGAGAAAAGAGGGAAAGTAAGAAAGCAAGGCGCTAGGTCCACCACTTGAACTGTGGTCAGCCATGTGGTTGTCCAGTGCTTTAAACACCACGCCACCTGCTGGCCCCCACCTGGCGTTTGTCTTAGCAGTGTGAGCTGACTGAAGTCCTGCGGAGTGGGGGTTTTCTTTTCCTTCTCCACTTAGTTTGACAGACCAGCTGAACACACATCAGAGAGCAAAGCTAGAATGTGCACTCATTATGGTCTCCAGTGCAATCCTATGCCCCAGTTTTGGGATTCTGGTTTTGGACCTGGTTTATTATTCTGGGCAAGAGGGAAGGGGCACACACCAAATAGTAGTAACCACAGTATAGTGTAGTACTTCACATCTTAGTCCATTTAGTCATCATGGTGGGCTTGTGGGAAAGGCAGAGAGTCTTGAGCCCATATTTTTTAAAGAATTAATTTTATTGGGGGAACCAGCAGTTAGCATAACGGCTATGTCGCTGGACTCCCACGTAGTCGACCGCGGTTCGTGTCCCGGACCCGGTGGCTTAAAACTCACGCCGGGCGCGTGTGTGTGCGTGCCCAAGATCCTGAGAGGAGAATGGAGGAGAAGGGATTGCGGCGTGACCATCCCCCCCGGGGGGTGATTTCTTGCTTTCTGTCTCTATGTCTCTCTCTGTCTGGCGAGCACACGTGCCCTATAGCGAAAAACCTCTCAGAAAAAAAAAAAAAAAAAACAATTAATTTTATTGGGGACAGCGAGTACTG